TATTGAAGTATTGGATGGCATGTGGAGAGAAAACACCTTAGTAGCCAAACTTAAGTGGCTAAATTTCATAGGCCAAAAGGGAATATTTTGTAAATAATGTATATATTCAAGCAAGATATGGTTTCCCACACTGAGTTCTAGAAATGGTATTTGCAAACATTTCTACATTAGTGTCATAGTGTTCACTTGGCTCATCCTGCTAGGTTTCAGTCACCAGAGATTGTGTTACTCATGGATCACATATTTATTTCACATTGACTCAGGATGATCCTTTGGCTTCTAGAGCCATTTCTCTGTGTTTTTAAGATCACACAGGAGTCAAGGTCAGCTTTCCAAAACCACTTCGTTTCTGTCACAGTAGGCTAGCATCAAAGCCATTGTAAAATCTAGAAAATTGTGTAGCTGAGTGTGTGACTGAGTACTGAGGCAGAAGCAGTTAGCAAAGGTGTTACCTATGTGACTATATTGCTTCTTTGTCAGTGTGTGGGATTTTATAGCCCTTTCAATCAAATGGGAAAACAATTTGTATATTATCAATGTTTTTAGTTTAAATAAACAAGCCACCCTGACCACTGCTGAATTTCACCTGAAGTGAAAACCATTCTATAAAGGCTGTGTCTGTTGTATATTGCTATAGCTGCATGTGTCATGAAGTGTTCTATATCTGGCCAGGATAATCTAGAGACAACACTTTTTTAATGGTAAAATAAATCTAATGAATATAAACTCTCACAATAAACCTATTTTTTCCATCATTGACCTTTTCAGGTATTTAAATAAATAAATGCTGTGTAATGTGATCTTGGGGTTTTTGTCTTATAAAGTAAGTGTCTCTGTCTAGATGTGAGTCAGCTCCTCTGGTTTCTATCTTCCTTAGTGGTAGAGTTGATTTGAACTTACAGATGTACCTCCCAAGTGCAAGGATTAAAGGCTAACAGAGTGTGCCACCATGCCCCATTTGTCTTTGTTGGTGGGTGACCCACACCGTACAGCCTGGCTACCCTCATCTGTCAGCTGAGACAATGTGGTGAGCAGAGGTCATATCACTGCTTCCTCTTCAACTTGGAGGTGTGTAGGTGTGTTCCTTTGTCTTACATACTCTTTAGGAACAGTTAATATGGGAAAAAACAGTTTTTTCTGACTTTGACAGTTTGCTCCAAAAAATGCAAGCTGTGAGAATACTAAGAAAAATGAGAGAGTCAGAAACTAAAGAATCACAAAAAAAAACTTTCACTGAATACCAGTTGCATTATCTTTTAAATGGATAATCCTGAGATTACTTGTTACAATGCTTCTCTTTGAACATTTTCCTATTTATACTTTGCATTGTCTTTTATAATTGAATAACCCAGAATTTGTTATCAGAGTGATACGTATCAGAGCGCATGTAGCAGTTTAACTTAAAGGTTGCAAACTCTTTCTGTAAAAGGTGCAAACAGCAAACATCAGGCTTCCACTACAGAACCCTGTGTAGAATGAAGACCCCTGTAGACACAAGGTAAGCAAATGTGACTACATTCCAGTAAAACTTCATGTATACTGAAATTAGAATATCCCACAACCTCTACATGCCACAAAACAGTCTTTCTGGATCAGTTTTTTGTTTTTGTTTTTTTCTCTTGTGTAATGTGAGTTCATGTAAGTATATTAGAGTATATATGTGTGTATATATCAGTGTATGTATGTATAAGAAGGCCTAAGGCTGACTCCATGTGTCTTCCTTAATTGCTTTTCACTTTATTGCTGAAGCAGGGTCTCTCATTTGAATCCAGAACAGGCAAATTTTGCTAGTCTAGCTAGCCAGCTTTCTCAGGGGAATCCCATCTCTTGAATTATGTGCAGACCTCCATGCCCAATGGGCATTTACATGGGTTCTGGGATCTGAACCATAGTCTTTATGGTTATACTGAGTCATCTCCCCAGCCCCTTCTATATATTCTTTCTTTGTTTTATTTTTTGAGACAGTATCTCACTAAACATGCTATTAGATCAGGCCAGCCTCAAATTCACAGAGATCCACCTGCTTCTGCCTTCCAGGTGCTGAGGATAAAGTTATGAGCCACCACACCTGGATCCCTTGGATTTACTTGACAATTAAAAATCTAGAGTTCACTGGGCAGTGGTGTTGCATGCCTTCAATCCCAGCACTTGGGTGGCAGAGACAGAAGGATGTCTGTGAGTTTGAGGCCAGCCTGGTCTACAAAGGGAATTCTATGACAGGCTCCAAAGCTACACAGAAATCCTGTCTCAGGGAAAAAAAAAAAGAATCTAGAATTCATACTTAGATGTACAGAAACTGATTTAATTGAGCAGCAGTTGTTAAATCACCTGATTATCTTGGAAATGTACAACACTGAGAAGAATGTAAAAACACTGTACTCATGTTTGTATGGAAACAAAGATTGGAGGTAGAAGAGGTGTCTATGTATTTGGAGCCTCCTTTATATAGATTCTGCCCTGGGTGTTAGGGCACGTGTGAAATAATTTGGAATGGTGGTGCCTGATCTTCCACTCCCATGGGGAGAGGCCATAGTAAGCACCACAAGTGGAGTAGTTATAAGTGTGGTGGGAGCTAAGCTCAGCCACCAGAGATTTTTCTCCAATTGAGTTCCCAGTAAGTTCTACAGAAGGTGATGTTCCATTTAGACCTGAAATAATTCACACTTAAAAAGTTGTCTGTCAACTGTGAGGTAGTGGCACACACACCTTTAATCCCATCACTTGAGAGGCAGAGGCCAGCCTGGTCTACAAAGAGAGTTCAGGACAGCTAGAACTATTATGCAAAGAAACCCTGTCTCAAAAAAAAAAAAAAAATTCTCTCTTACTGAGTTGGAAAGTTCAAGAGCCTGAGTGTTTCTTGCTGGGGTTGGAGGTCAGTCCCTATCTCACTGAAAAAACTGCCCCCAGCTTGGGTTGTATAAGAATTGAAATTCATACTTCTGTAAAATCTGTCAAAACAGCAGCTGAATGTGAAAGTACCCTGTGTAATAATGTGCTTGGAACAGGATAGGTATTCATCTCAAACAGCATGGGAGCAGTGCTTGGCTGTTAGCTCTGAGTGGCAGCTGAAGTACACCAGAGTACAACTCTGTTTCCAGCCAGGTGTGGACAGAACATAGGATTCACCTTTGGAAAGGAGGAGTGACTATGTCCAGACCCAATGAGAAGCTCTGCTTGGCTAGCAATCAGATAAAAAGAATTAAGAGATGGCTGGC